CGGGTGTCCTGGCGGGATGCCCATCCCCGAGCCCACCTGCTCTCCCTGCTGCCCTCGACCCAGATGCCGCCCGGCCGACCCACTGCCCCCTCTCCCCCAGGACACGTCATGGTGAACGGCCCGACCACCCCGATTCCCGTCAAGGCCAGCCCCAGCCCCACGGAGCCCATTGTCCCTGCAGTGCCCATAGGTAGGTGCGCTCCAGCCCGCCAGCCACGGGGGAGACGCGCTGCCACCTGCAGGATGCCACCCATGCCCCTGTCTGTCCTAGGCCCACCCCCAGCTGGTTTCAGAGACATCCTGCTGCGAGAGGGGCCCGAGGGCTTCGCCCGAGCTGTGCGGAGCCACCAGGGCCTGCTGCTGATGGACACGACCTTCAGGGACGCCCACCAGTCACTGCTGGCCACTCGCGTGCGGACCCACGATCTCAAAAAGATCGCCCCCTATGCCGCCCACAGCTTCAGCAAGCTCTTCAGCATGGAGAACTGGGGAGGTAGGCTGGAGAGGGCTGGAGCCGCGCCTGGCAGGAGCTGGGTACCCACTGCGTGGCCAGTCCCAAAGCCCAGGCCACTGGGGACAAGCTGGAGGTCTTAAGGCTGAGAAAACCCGAGTGAGACCTGAAGAAGGCACGGGGTTCGTCTGTTCAACAGACACTGGCCGGTGCCCACTCCGGCCAGGACTGGTGAGAGCTGAGACCCGGACAGGGTTCCAAGAGGCTCAGGGCAGGGAGGAGACACCAGCCCGCTGTGAATTACAGCGCGGAGGACTCGAGGGAGGACGGCGTCGGCGCTGTTGGGGAAGAGGGCACAGACGGGGCTCAAATGAGCCTGGTCCGCCCGAGAGGCCAGCAGAGAGAAAAGCCCGTGGGGAGCTGGGCCACAGGGCACCCCGAAGATCAGGAACTGGCGTTGGGACTCGAGGCTCGGGCAGCGCAGGCACCAGGCCTGGCAGGACCCTGAGTCCTGGGGCGCTGACCCGGGCCTCTCGGTCCCTGGGCAGGAGCCACGTTCGACGTCGCCATGCGCTTCCTGTATGAGTGTCCCTGGCGGCGGCTGCAGGAGCTCCGGGAGCTCATCCCCAACATCCCATTCCAGATGCTGCTGCGGGGGGCCAATGCCGTGGGCTACACCAACTACCCCGACAACGTGGTCTTCAAGTGAGCCGGGGGGCACGCAGTGTGGCCCAGCAGGTCCCGGGCCACGGCGAGACCTGTGCTCTCCGCAGTGGGCTCGAAACCAAGTCTCTGTGTAGCCACGCCCCGCAGGGGTTGCCTTTTGGCAGGACAGAAATGCAGCTGCAGAGCCAGACAGGCTTCACTCTTGGGGCAGTAGGGGTCCTGAGAGGGCAGATGATGTGTCCCCAGCCACTTGCTGTAGAGCTCGGAGTCGAACCCAGGCCGCAGGACTCCTCGTTCAGTGCTCTTTCCCACAGCCTTGCCAGTCCTTTGCAAAGAATCTCCCAGCTGATGCTCCAGACCTGAGCAGACCGATCTGCCCAGTGTAGATGCCATGTGACTAGTGTAGGTGACCCTGCCCAACCCGGGCCGCCCTGGAAAAGGCCCTGCCCCCACGGTTGTGCCCCCACCCTCCTGCCTGTAGATACCACACCCCTTCCAGGTCAGACCCTCAGCTCTCGCTCCCCAGGGCAGCAGGGCGGGCCGGGGAAGGATGTGCAGGGGCCGTGGCGGGGAGCTCAGCCCCGGGCCCTCCCCCACTCAGGTTCTGCGAGGTGGCCAAGGAGAACGGCATGGATGTCTTCCGGATCTTCGACTCCCTCAACTACTTGCCCAACATGCTGCTGGGCATGGAGGCGGCAGGCCGTGCCGGAGGCGTGGTGGAGGCTGCCATCTCGTACACGGGCGACGTGGCCGACCCCAGCCGCACCAAGTACTCCCTGCAGTACTACATGGGCTTGGCCGAAGAGCTGGTGCGAGCTGGCACCCACATCCTGTGCATCAAGGTACTCGGGCCACTCACCCACCTCCCTCGGCCCCTGCCACGTCCCCCGCCCCGGGCGCACACGGGCCCCCTTGGCCACCTGCCTCTCTCCTCCCGCTTCCCAGGACATGGCGGGGCTGCTGAAGCCAGCGGCCTGTACCATGCTGGTCAGCTCCCTCCGGGACCGCTTCCCTGACCTCCCGCTGCACATTCACACCCACGACACGTCAGGGGCAGGTGTGGCAGCCATGCTGGCCTGTGCCCAGGCTGGGGCTGATGTGGTGGACGTGGCGGCAGACTCCATGTCCGGGATGACTTCGCAGCCCAGCATGGGGGCCCTGGTGGCCTGTACCAGAGGGACTCCCCTGGACACAGGTGAGCACAGCCGCCCGTGGCCGTGCCCCCTCAAAGCTGCTCTGCCACCAGCCCCGGCAGCATCGGGCCTCCCTCGAACCCAGGCACCCTGCTCTGGCCTTGCCTCCCTCCATCGCCCCAGCCCGGGAAGGCCCCAGCCAGCACGGTGCTGAGCCCTCCACCTCTGGCCTCCCTGCAGAGGTGCCCCTGGAGCGCGTGTTTGACTACAGTGAGTACTGGGAGGGAGCCCGGGGACTGTACGCGGCTTTTGACTGCACGGCCACCATGAAGTCTGGCAACTCGGACGTGTATGAGAATGAGATCCCAGGGGGCCAGTACACCAACCTGCACTTCCAGGCCCACAGCATGGGGCTCGGGTCCAAGTTCAAAGAGGTCAAGAAGGCCTATGTGGAGGCCAACCAGATGCTGGGCGACCTCATCAAGGTGAGCCAGGTCCTGCCCGACACAGCCCTGCACACTCCTGCCTCTGGAACTCCGTCAGGCGCCTGGCATCCTAACCTCTAGGGCCGCCTCCTCAGGTGACGCCCTCCTCCAAGATCGTGGGGGACCTGGCCCAGTTCATGGTGCAGAACGGGCTGAGCCGGGCAGAGGCCGAAGCGCAGGCGGAGGAGCTGTCCTTTCCTCGCTCGGTGGTGGAGTTTCTGCAGGGCTACATCGGGGTCCCCCACGGAGGGTTCCCCGAGCCCTTTCGCTCTAAGGTAGGGATGGTCCAGCGCGTGAGGGCGGGACTGGGTGCAGGAGTCAGGGCTGACGCTCCGCTCCGCTCCCCAGGTGCTAAAGGACCTGCCAAGGGTGGAGGGGCGTCCTGGGGCCTCCCTCCCTCCGCTGAACCTGCAGGCGCTGGAGAAGGAGCTGATAGATCGGCACGGAGAGGAGGTGACCCCGGAGGATGTGCTGTCAGCAGCCATGTACCCCGACGTCTTTGCCCACTTCAAGGACTTCACTGCCACCTTTGGCCCCCTGGACAGCCTCAACACCCGCCTCTTCCTGCAGGGACCCAGAATCGCGGAGGAGTTTGAGGTCAGTGTCTCTGGTGCCGTCCACACTCACCCCAGTCCTCCTGCCCTGGAGCGCCAGACCTTCGCTTGGCTGTCCCCAGCCTTGGAGCTCTAGGAGCAGAAAGGACCCTTGAGACCCGGAGCTAGGCCTTCTCAAGTGAGGAGTCGAGACCGAGTGGGGGCTTCCTTGTGGCCAAGCTCAGGGGCTGCCCCCCCAGGCCTGAGCCGCCACGCCCTCCCGGCAGGTGGAGCTGGAGCGAGGCAAGACGCTGCACATCAAAGCCCTGGCGGTGAGCGACCTGAACCGAGCCGGCCAGAGGCAGGTCTTCTTTGAGCTCAACGGGCAGCTGCGGTCCATCCTGGTCAAGGACACCCAGGCCATGAAGGTACAGCTCCCCAGGGCCACCGGGCGGTGGGGGCGGGCCGGGCCCGGCGTCTCATGTTCCCCGTCCCGTGTCCGCAGGAGATGCACTTCCACCCCAAGGCCCTGAAGGATGTGAAGGGCCAGATTGGGGCTCCCATGCCTGGGAAGGTGATAGACATCAAGGTGGCGGTGGGCGCGAAGGTGGCCAAGGGTCAGCCTCTGTGTGTGCTCAGCGCCATGAAGATGGAGACTGTGGTGACCTCGCCCATGGAGGGCACTGTTCGCAAGGTCCACGTGACCAAGGACATGACACTGGAAGGTGATGACCTCATCCTGGAGATCGAGTGACCTCGCCCAGACGGACAGCTTGGCCATTCCCACCCCAAGACTTCAGCAGAAGCTGTGCTGCCAGGGCAGGCCCAGGCCACCAGTGCCTGAGGGCAGAACGGCCTGGCCCTGGCGGTCCTGTCCTCGGCTGGACGGGAGGGACACTGCCTGCAGCGGCCATTCCCTGCTGCCATCTGTCCTTTCCCCACGTGGGGACCGCTGCTCACACACTCATCTCTTGCCAAACGAGGGTCCTCTCCTCGCCAGAGACCACAGGTTGTGGGTTCTAGGGCCTGGGAAAGAAGGCTGAGGGGCTCTACCTCCCAGGGGAAGGGGAGATCCCAGATGTCCCAGGTCCTGGGAAATTTGCTCAATAAAACTGGCTTTCCCCTGCCCTCCATTGCTGGGTCCTGTGCACCCTACCCCAGTCTGTGCTACTCGGAACTGCAAGCAGGGATGCTTTTCAGAGCCCTTATGGGGAGGGTGGAGGCAGGTCAGCTGTCTTCCTCCCTGGAGGGTAGCCAGGATGCCAATCAGGGCCCTGTTTTAAGTCACTATTAGATGCCTACTGTATGTATACCCCAAACATGACTATTACTGAGCTTGTGTGGGGGGTGGGGGCTGTTCTAAGCACTTAAGACGTATTAACTCAGGGAATTAATCTTTATCCTCTTATGGACACAGAAATTGAGTTGCAGGAAGGTTAAATAGTGTGTTCAGGATTCCACAACTAGTAAGAGGCAGAGAGGAAGGAAACCCAGGCTGTTGGCAGACTTGCTTTCCAGCCACTCCGCTTTACTTTTTTCTAAAACCCAGGGCCAGCCTCCGACCTCCAGTTAGTTCAAGACTAAATGCAAACAGGTACCACCTTCTGGCAGTGGGTGAGACCCTCAAGAACGGTGATGTGGCAGGGACGACCATGGCCATGTTGCATGTGTGAGTGTTGGTGGGAGGCAGGAGCGACACCGGGCCGGGGACCCCAGGTTCTAACCCCACAACCAAGCCTCAAGAGAACGCTGCTCCACGCCCCTTCCTGCTGGGGGGACAGTAGCCCTGCCTGCACCACGGCTGTCCTGCCCACTGGCACAGGTGGGATGAGGACAGTGAGAAGTGATGGACAGAGAAGGCTGGGGCAGTTCCTGAAGGGGGTGGGGGCACGGGGGTGCTGGTAGAAGAAACACCAGACTCTGAGGAAGAGGGCAGAGCCAGATCCCCTGACCCAAGGAGGAAACAGCCTCCCTCCACAACCCCCCAACCCAGCATGCCTGTCTGCCCAGAGCTCTCAGGGTACCAGCACCTAACTTCTGGGGTGGGTAAGTCACAGTGGGCCTGTGCCTCTTCCTCTCTGGAGGAACCTTGAGAGGTTCCAAACGTCCCCTTCTAAAACAAGCCCCATGCTCACCCCTTTGCCCGCGACAGCTGCTACAGGCTGGGGGAGGAACGTTCTCCAGGGAGACCTGCCCTTTAGGTCCAGGTGAGTGCAGTTTAGTCACAGCCAACCTGGCGAAGCGACTGCATACCCCTCTCCTTTCCCCCAACACCAGCCTCAGGGAAGGGACCCAGGACAACCTCCTCGAGTAGGCATGGGACTCAAGGGATAAGATGCTTTCAAGAACTGACTTTTTAAAAAAGCATGGGCAAGCCGGGCTCGGTGGCTCAGCCTGTAATCACGCGCCTTTGGGAGGCTGAGGTGAGTGGATTGCCTGAGCCCGCGGGTTCGAGACTCGCCTGGGCAGCAAGACTTCATCTCTACAATAAATAAAAAAAACCAGCCAGGCGTGGTAGCACATGCCTGTAATTCCGGCTACTTGGAAGGCTGAGGCAGAAGGATCGCTGGAGCCCAGCAGGTCGAGGCTGCGGTGGCCAGGAGCGGCCACTGCACTCCAGTCTGGGCGACAGAGTGAGACTCCGACTCAAAAAAAAAAAGCATGGGCAGGGAAATGAGAGCCATCCTAAAAACGAGATAAAGAGCAGGCAGAACACTGACAAGTTCTAAGAATCTTGAGTTACTGTTGTGCTTGGTGGAGTTCCTGCACCTGTCAGGGCTGCAGCCTTTGTTCTGGGTTCAAGACAGAAGCAGAAAAACTTCCACTCCTGGTGACTCAGGGTAGGTTCCTCTCCTATTTTGGACCTATTTCGTCTTGTCCAAAACGAAGCTGGTAGGCTCTGGAGATCCTGATAGAGGCCTCAAAAGAAACATCTACCCTCTTCAGAGGACAAAGGCCAGAGGCTCCATCGGTGGGGTCAGGGCTGTGGCTTCCACCCGGCAGCCAAGGACTGGGTTCACATCTGGTACCTGCAGGCCCAGACCCACCCATGCTAGCACTTGAGACGTGGCTCAGGAAGTGAAGAAGCCACAGGCCCCAGCGGCTGGAGCCCCCAACCCATCCTCGCCTCCAGGAGACCGCCTGTCGGGCTGAACTGCCCAGAGGCTAGTTTCGAAGGGAGCGGGACGGGGCGGGCAGTGAGCACCCTCCCCAGCTGCCTGAAGTCTTCACAAAAGGCCCAAGCAGACCCACTCCCCGAGGTCCAAGGCCATGTTACCCAAGTTAAATCTCTTTAATATCCCAATACAAAGTCTGATGCAAAAAGACAATGAGAAAACCCTGGGAAGTTGGGGGGGTGGGAGGGGTCTTACAAACAAAACCCCCCAAGCAGCTTTTCAGGGGCAGAGGGGCCGAGGAGCGGAGAGCAGCAGCAGTCCGGAGGGAGGGAGCCTGTGGCTCCCGGGGCCTGCCCGGCCCCTCCCTCGCAGCTGCTCCTCAGCCCCCCTTTGAGAGGGGCTGCAGCCTTTGGATATCTGCTCCTTTCTCTTGGTCCCTGGGATTCAACTAGCTCTGGCTTCAATCCCCTACAAAAATCCCTGAGATCTCGGAGACCCCAGCCAGCCCCTCCCCTGCAGTACCCCTTGATGGGGAGGGGCTGGGAGCCCGTGAGAGTTCGTGGGAGTGCACACAGGAGCAGAGGTCAGGAGCACAGGGGAGCCTCTGAGTCTCCAGTCCGCTCCAGAAGCACACAAAGGGGAAGGCTGCCGTAGAGCCTGGGGTCCGTGAGGGGCTGGAGCAGCAGCAGGAAGAGTCCCACGCCCAGGGCATAGCCTGCCAGCAGGGGCCGCCTCTGCGGGTGCTCCAAGGCCGCACAAACGGCAGGAAAGCCCATGTAATTGCAGAAGGAGTGGCAGAGAACCGGCCCAATCAGGTGTCCTGGGGAGGGGAGACAGCAGCTCATGGAACAGCCCCACTACCTCCCAGGCCCTTCCAGGGCTAGGGATCCTCATCCCCTGAAACAGGATAGCAGCACCCCACCCATCACCCATCCACCCATCACCCATCCACCCATCCACTACAGCCCCTGACTTCTTTCACTGCTCTGACCTCACCGGGCTGAGGGCCCTGGCTCAGCCTGTCTCAAGGACTATGGTAGAAGAACTTACTGCCACTCCTAGAACACACACAGTATTCCCGTTCCCCTCCCGCTCCTGTGGGCCCCAGGGGACCCGTGAAAGACTGAGGACCAACCTGTGCGGATGAAGAGGAAAGCAGTGTAGGCACCGAAGACAGCTGTGTACGAGAACTGGAACGCTGGAGACGGGGAGGCCGCGAGTGACCACACCTGCACATCCTTCCTGCCCCAGCACTGCACACCCATCAGCCGAAGACCATCCCCTTCCCACCACCTACGGCTCTCCTCTGAACACCTACTCGCGTGATCAGTGGCCTCTCCGGCACGACAGCCCTCTGTGCCCTCCTGAGCGGCTACTGGAGACACCCTCACACACCCTAACCCAGGACTGCCCAGGCACGCCCTCCAGGACTCACCTGCAGACAAGAAGATGCTCCCCACACTGCTCTGGCGGAAACGCAGCTGCTCAATAATGTGGTGAAAATGAGCTAGGAGGAAGGTGAGAACCGTGTCACATCCCTCCCTCCTCCCTTCTAGGCCCACCCTTGGCCTCAAGCCCCATTCCCAGCTCTCACACTGACAAGTACTCACTCAGTAGGAACAAGTTGGCTAGACTCACCAACTCCAAAGAAGAGAGGGCAGGTGAACACAGCAGGGCCCAGGCCTGTGCACGGTGCTAACATGGGCAGCATGCAGGCCCGGAACACCAGCTCCTCTGTCAGAGGGGCAATCACTTGGTTCCGCAGCCAACGCATGTCTGTGAGGCAGCGGGCCCAGGAGCGGGGGGCTGGGGAGGGAACTCAAGTAAGTGACTAGCTGTCAAACAATGAGACCCCCAAATTCCCAAGGGCCCCTCTCCCACAGTTTTACCCTGGCCAAACTCAGGCTAGGCATCAATACTCCTTGCAATGGGGATCAGACCCAACGTAAAACAACATCTTGGCTGGGCACGGTGGCTCACGCCAGTAATCCCAGCATGTTGGGAGGCCAAGGCAGGAGGACTGCTTGAGGTCAGGAGTTCAAGATCAGTCTGGGTAACATAGCAAGACCTCGTCTCTACAAAAAATAAAAAAGTTAGCCGGGCTTGGTGGTGTACACCTGTAGTCCTGGATACTCAGGGGACTGAGGCAGGAGGATCACCTGAACCCAAGAGGTAGAAGCAGTGGTAAGCCATGATCATGCCACTGCACTCCAGCCTGGACGACAGCAAGATCCCAACTCAAAAAATGAAAAAAAGTCTTAAGAAGACTTAAAAGGGAAGGCATTAGTAGCTGGAGCAGGGTATCCTGCAAGGAAACTCTGGAGATATAAAAACCTAACCAAGACCAGTTCTAGCTTGGGGAAGCAGAAAACAATGCTCTGATCCACACCACATCCTGCGGGGGTCCCCAGGGTCCGCCTTGGACATTAAGAATCAACTCTTAGAAGCCACCCAGTTCTATGTTCCCATTTTGCTGATGAGGAAACACACCCAGAGAGATGATGCTTCACATCTCACGTCCACATCACACCATGAGCCCACTGACTCCCTTCCCTACTGTCCCGAACTGCCTGTGCCTACTTTCCCCGTCAGCCTTGAGGACTCACCTAGGACAACCTTCAGCCCATCTGCCAGGTCGCAAGGGCAATCCATAGAGAGCTGCATCAGTGGGCCCAGAAAAAGGATCTGGAGGCAGAAAAACAGAGACCAAAGGAAAAATTTTCACCATAATCCACTGCCCTTGTCCAGACCTGCCCTTATCCCTAAGAGGCTTCAAATTTCCTGTTCTCTGCCAAGATTTCCAACCCATGCATAACCTAGGGTCCCGGGGCCATCTCACAATTCCTGTCTCCCATCAGCCAAAACCCGACACAATCAAGATAAGAAAAAAAGCCACGTGCATCATGCTGATAAAGACCAGAGGAGGAAAGATAAAGCAGGGGCACTCACCATGGTCAGCAGCAGGGGCAGCAATGCTGCTGGGAAAATGCCCTCCAGCCTGAAGCCCATCAGGGTGAGCAGGGATGTGCCTGGCTGAGCCACAGGAAGGGGGCATCAGTCTTGCTCCCACGCCCAAAGATTCCTGCGCCCTCTCCCCCCCTGCCCCGCCTCCTTCGCACCTGGATGCCTGTGAGTTCCCTCCAGAGCAGCACGCAGAGGGGCGAGAGACTGGACACCACCAGGACGCTGGTGAAGCGCCGCTTGATGACAGCGGGGTGGTCCCTACGGAAGGGGCAGTAAGTCCAGGGGGCCTGCAGCCACCTGTCAGCGCGGCCCCGCCCCCGGCGCGCCCAGGCTCCGCCCGCAGTCCCGCCTCGCGGGGGCGCGGGTTC